CACCATGTGGGTGCTGGGAATCAAACCTGAGTCCTGCTAAGCCATCTCTCCAGTCCCCAGGTTTTAGTTTTCTTTTCTTTTCTTTTTTGTTTTGTTTTTTGAGACAGGGTTTCTCTGTGGCTTTGGAGCCTGTCCTGGAACTGGCTCGGTAGACCAGGCTGGTCTCGAACTCATAGAGATCCACCTGCCTCTGCCTCCCGAGTGCTGGGATCAAAGGCGTGTACCACCAACACCTGGCCCCGGGTTTTAGTTTTTTTTTAATGTATTTATGTATGCATTTTTGTGGTTCTGGGGACTGGATATAGGGCCTCATGGTTGATAGGCAAATGAATATCCTACCATTAACCCATATTCCCAGTCCTAGAATTTTTTGTTTCTTGTTTTTGTTTTTTAAATTTTGAGACAATGTCTCATGTAGCCAGGATAATGTAGACTTTCCTACATAGCTGAGGATGACCTTGAACTCCTGATCCTTCTGCCTTCACCTTCCAAGTTCTGGGATCACAGAACTGGATCCCAAAGGGCGCTTGCTTTAGGCCTGACCACCTGGGTATGATCCCAGTTCATTACATGATAGAAGGAGAAAATTGATGCCTACAATGTTGCCTTCTGACCTCCACAAACACACCTTGTCATGCATGTAATATGCCCCCCCACACCCACACCCACACACAGGGCGGGAGAGCGAAATAAAAAAATATTAAATAAATTGAGACAGTTTCACCTGGGCTATTTAGTGTATCCCTGTCTCATTTTATTTATATTGGTATTGCAGGTATATGCCACCATGTCCTGATAGAGTGGTTTACAAAAACACCCTGTGTGACTCATTCCTGTTGTCCTTAAAAACACCTCCTTGGGACCAGCAGGGCCTTGTGTGGTCTCCCTTGCCTGCCTCTTCTTCCTTGTCAATCACTTCTAAAGACAGCTCTGTCACTTGAACTTGGGTCCAAATATGCTTAGTGGAAAAAAATGAATAAAAGTCAAACCTTTTCGATGAAGTGCCTTATACACATGACTCACTGGTAGACTAGGCTCTGATGTCTTTGGGGAAGAAGGAGAATTTGGAAACAGCTGTCAGTATTGTTGACTCTACGCTTCTCCCCCATCTGTGGAGGAATCTGGGAACCTCTCTATGGCAAGGGTGTGTATGTGTGGTGGGTGTTGGGGCATTGGGGTGTATATGGTGTGTGAGTAGACTTCCCTGCAAAGGCAGAAGCCATGGCATGCTGCTTGTATTTGGGGTCCTACTCACAATCTCGACATGAAACTCTGGTTAAGCCTGACTCAAAGAATTTTAATAGTAATACTTGTTGAAGCTGCGCTTTTTCTACTTTCTGTTTAATGTCAGCTACAGAGACTTCATGGAAGATTGAGATCAATGAGGCCAAGAGGAAACTGATGGAGAACATCCTACTCTACAAAGAGGAGAAGCTGGACAGCATTGAGCTTTTTGGACCCTGATGGCCAGAGCACAGCTGAGGACCCTTATCCTCAACTGGATGGACAATTGTCCAGTCAAGGAAGAGGTCTTTGGCAGCCCAAGGTCTGTCAGGACCCATACAACCTAAATACCAGCCTGAGCAGAAGGAAACCTGTTTTCATCAGTGTTGAGTTGCAGGGAGAGAACACAGGGGACCTCAACTCACACAGACAACAAACTCCAGGAAACATTCTTCCTTTATGAGACTTCTGGCCTTCCACACCAAACGTCTGGTTTGTGACCCAAGGATTTGGGTGGTTTTGTGATTCCAGGGAACTCATCATCCCAATAGGTGCTGTTGCCCCAGCAGCAAGCACTCCTCCACAACTGACAAGAGCAATCCTGCAGCACCCGTGGTGTTTTCTAGAGTTATCCTCTGTCTGTCATATTTGCTGACAGCTTTCTGCAAACTTCCGTTTCCTAAAAGACCTTCAGCTGATGTCTCAGTGCAATGCTTGACTCATCTCTCAAGCTCAGGATTACAAAAGCAAGACACTTGGCAAAGGACTTAGTAGGCTTTCTACTTTTTCAGGTAATAATCTTGTAAGCCACCAGTATTTATGAACTGCTTGCTTTGCGCCTTCATCCTCCTTCACACCCATGTCCCGTTGTTTGTTTTTGTTTTTTTTTAACGGAGACTCCAAGATTATGTGTTATTTATAGCTGGGTGAAGAATCATGAGAACTAGTTTCATGTTTTATTCTGCTGCTAGTTAAGTCAATCACTCAATGTGTAGGAACTCAGTATCCTTGTAAGGTAGCCCCTGCTCTATTCTCCCTGCCTCAGCTCTTGGGAGGAAAGGGGCAGTGGCTATAGAAGCACTTTGAAAAATGCATCTGTCCTGTTTTAGAAAATAAATAAAAGGTATTAAGTTCATGTTTCTGCCTTGTAGAAAATGTTTATGCAGTGGATATGTTTTTGAAAAGTCATGTTGTGAACCTTTTTTTGTGAAACAAAGCTATTTCTAATTTACTATTTAAAATAATTCCACTATTGTGACCATCTTGTAAAATAAAAAATATTTGTAATCTAGTACATATCTTATAATTACTTTTGTGTCTGAGTAATTTGTTTCCAGAATGTGTTTGACTTAAGGACTCTTGCTTTTATTTTTTGCTTGTATAGTATGTGTGTGTGTGTGTGTGTGTGTGTTTGCGTGTATTTATGTGTGTGGATGTGGTATGTATACCACCATATGCTTGTAGAGCTCAAGAGGATGACTTCAATTGTCAATCCTTCTTCCACAGGGTTTGTTATTTTTTCTCCTTCTTTTTCTTTTTTTTTATTTAGGTTAGAAACAATCTTGTTTCACATGTCTATCCCAGTTCCGTCTCCCTCCCCTCTTCCCCCGCCCTCCCCACCAAGTCCCCCAGTCCCCCACCCAATCTCCACTCCGATCACCAAGGAGGGTGAGGCACTCCATGGTGGATCTCCAGTAACTGTCATTTCAACCAGGGCAGGGCCTAGGCCCTCCCCCAAGAGTCCGGGCTGAGAGAGCCTCCCATATTGTCATCCAGCAACTGATGAAAGCAGAGGCAGATACCCACAGACAAACACTGAACTGAACTAGAATCCAGTGTCAGAAAGAGAGAATTGATGGGCAAAGGAGTTAAGAGCAGGCTAGTTTAACCCACAGAAACAGTTGACCTGAACAAGGGGGCACTCTTGGACTCCAGATTGATGGCTGTGTGGAAAGCATGGGACTGACCCAGACCCCCTGAATGTGGGTGTCAGTGAGGAGGCCTAGGTAATCTATGGGGCCTTGGGTAATATTTATCCCTGGCACACAAATAGACTTTGAGTGCCCATGCCACAATATTTTTGTCCTTCTTACACAAGGCTAGCTGGCCCATCTCTGTGTAGGAGCACATCAATTATATATACCCTTACTACACAGCCAGCTTTTATGTGGGTCCTGGTATTTGAACTCAAGACCTTATAGGGTGGCAAGTGCTTTTACCCACATAGTAGACTTAGGATATTGTCCCTTTAGGATGGGTTCCATCAGCAGTGCTTCCAGTATTTGCATAACCTTCCATGGGTATTAAAGTTGCTTTCATTTCTACTGTTACAAATAGTGATGGTTTCTGGGATGATTAACCTTTACTGTCAACTTGGGTTTACAATCACCTTGAGATAGATGTGCTTCTGGTTTTGACTATGAGGGTGTTTACAGAGGACTTGTTCTGATTATGGGAGGCACTATTCAGGGGCTGGGGACTTGTATTGAATAACAACAACAATAATAATAAAGTGGAAGCCAGTTGAGTGCTGAGAGCCTCATGTTCCTGACACCAAAGTTGTGAGCTGTCCTGGGATATTGGATTATACCTTAAATAGTAAGACAAACTCATCCTCTCTTTACTTCTGTCTTATGTAGTCCAGGCTGTGAGCTGTCCTGGGATATTGGACTATACCTTAAATAGTAAGACAGACTCTTCCTCTCTTGTCTTTACTTTTGTCTTATGTAGTCCAGGCTGGTCTGCAATTCCTGATCCTCCCCTCACACCTTCGGAGTGCTGGAATTACAGCCTTGCATGACACCTGGCTTATTCTGTGATGGGGATCAAAATCTTTTTCTCCTGTTAAGTGATCTGCTTTTGAGCCACAACCATTGTCCTTTCTGGTAGTGGTAGGAGGGTCTCAAGTATTTGGAGGTGACCTTGAACTCTGGATCCTCTGAACCGAGCCTCCTTAGAAATGCGATTACAAGTTGGCACTCCCTTTTTATTTCTAGAGGTGGTCTCTGCTGAACTCACTAGGCTAGATATTCCAAACTGGCTTCCAACTTACAGTAGCTCCCCACCCTCAGCAACCCAAATGGAATTACTCATGTGAGCCACCATGGCTGCTTCATGCTCCTCCCTGCCCCTTGTTTAAATGTTTTTAAATTTGTAGGCAGGGTCTAAGTTGTCTAAGCTGGCCTTGAATTTGGCAATCTTCCTGCTTCTTCTCCCTGAGCAGTTGGAATTGTCTATCCAGCAGGCCAGGCTCTCGCGCATCTTGTGCCTTCTAACTCCAATTCCATCACTTTTTGGGTGTGTCGCGAGTGTGTGTGTGTTGTACCTTCTAACCCCAACTCCGTCACTTTCTGGGAGTGTCGCTTGGTTTTACCGAACCACAGTTTCCTAATTTGTAAAAATGGTGACAACGCCTGGCAGGCAAGAATCAGGTACCAAGGAGCCCGAGCAGTCGCCCTCTAGTATTCGCTCCTGGCCTACCCAAGCTGGCGCAACGCGCTGCTCCGGGTCCACGTGAGAGGCTCCACCCCACGTCGCTCCCAACCAGCCAGAAAGCTCCGTGAGGCGTAGGGCCACGCCCCAGAACGCCTGCCCAATAGGCGCGCTCAATCTTGCGAGGAGTAACGCCCCCTCCCGTTGGAGCAATGAGCGCCGTCCCTGGAGCTGGCTCCGCCCCCGCCGCACGCCACACGCCGCACGCCGGACGCCGGGAAGGTTCAGCGGGGCTGACGCTGAGGTTGCGGAGTAGGCGTCGGGGCGGAGGCCTTGGGTGAGGGCGCGGCGCGGCTTTGGGCCGGGTCGGCTGGGCGGGCGGAGGTGACTTCCGGCGCGCGGCTCCGGAGGCCGGTGGTTCCACTCAGGCCCGGGGCGGGGCGGGGCGGCGGGAGCCGAGCGGCCACCCCGCCCGCGGCCCGCCCTTGGCGTCCGGGGCCTGCGGGCGCGAGCAGCCCAAAGGGCGGCTGCTTCGCTCGCTCTCGGACCCCGGCGAGGGGCTTCGGAAGGTCGCCCGCTGCGCCGGAAGCTCCTTGGCGTCTCGGGAGCGGCGCGGTCTTGATAGTAGCGCTCACAGACTACGGCAGCGCTTCGTGGCGTTCGGCGCTCGGCCCGTGGGCGCGTCGCGGAGCGCTGTGGCGTCCCTGAAACCCGCAGCACTGGGATGGGCAGACGACAGGAACGGGAAAGGTCAGTGGGGCCCTGGCGGCTTCCCGGCGGTGTGAGGTGAGCAGCCGCGGAGACTCGGTGCTGCAATCCTCGTTCCTCTGTCCCTTGCAGGTGCCCATGGCGTCGGAGCGGCGCAAGGTCAAGTACCACTGGGGCAGCACGTCGGAAGGGTGTCCCAGCAAGCGCAGCCGCTCCCGGGAGCCCGGCAATGTGGCCTCCTCCAGCCGACCAGTTCGCAGCTGTGCGTCGCGTCCTCGAGGGGCCAGCAGCCCCCAGAGTCTGAAAGCCCGGCGGGGGAACGATGTGGCCCGCACGCCCCGGAGCTCAGTCCGCCGCCGCACCTCCTCTTCCTCTTCGTCGTCCTCTCTCTCCTCGGGCTCAGGTGCAGGCGGGGCCGCCTCCCCTGGCTTCCTGATTGCGAGCCCTCGAAGGTTCCTGACGTCCAAAGGGTCCGCTTTGCACCCTGCCCGCTCCTCTCTAGAAGAAATGGCTTCTCTTCGGAAGGAAGCTTATAAGGTAGGTGCTGGCGACGTCTAGCAAACGGTGAAGTCTCCTGCACGTGGCTGGAGAGGTGGAGAGGAGGAGAAATTTGGTGGGAGGAAACTAAAAATGAGATCTTTTCGTGTAGGGCCTGGGTGTGTGGGGGAGTGTGTGGGGGAGTCGGGGGTGGAGTTCGGTGTAGAGGGAGTTTTCAAACTTGGTGGCGTTTGCAACTGCCGGAAAGCCGGACAATGTTTGTGGCCTGCCATCCCAAAGGGAACGACTAAAGAGGGCTTGGGGGAATCTCTGGAGAATGTCGGGAGGTGGAATGTTGCTCAGGAGAGAGGATGCAGGTTTTGGTCAGTTTAAAGAATTTGCCCTTGGGCCGGGCGTTGGTGGCGCACGCCTTTAATCCCAGCACTCGGGAGGCAGAGGCAGGCGGATCTCTGTGAGTTCGAGACCAGCCTGGACTACCAAGCGAGTTCCAGGACAGCCTCCAAAGCCACAGAGAAACCCTGTCTCAAAAAAAAAAAAAAGAATTTGCCCTTGGGGCTGGGGAGATGACACATTACAGATTTTGCAGAAGACCCAAGTTCTGAGCCCAGTGCAGGTGGCTCACAACTGCCGGCAATTCCAGCTCCCAGGGATCCCACTCTTTTGACCTCCATGGGCATCTGCATGTGCCACTTACATACACTTAATTAAACATAAAATTAAAAAAAAAGTCTTTGTACTTAGAACAACTATGAATCTCAGCTAAAGAATTGGACTCTTAGTGTGGCTTCTCACCAAAGTTGTGGATTCTGGCATGTTAACATTCTCTTCGGTGGTTTGGTTACAAGGTTTTTTTTTTGGGACAGGGTTTCTCTATGTAGACCAAGCTGTCCTGGAACCCACAAATGCCTGCCTGCTTCTGTCAGGTTTAAAGGCATATGCCACTACACCAGGCTTGTGTGTGTGTGTGATTTTTTTTGTTGTTGTTGTTAGTAACCTTTGGAGATTAACTCACGTCTAGTTCCCCAGTGGAAGCAGGCGAATGGGGTTTGTAAGTTCTTGGAACAGAATGCTTCGAAAGTAGATCCATTTCAGATTTTGAGTAGATTTACTGAGGGCCTGTTTTGTGCCAGGCAGTGTTTCAGGAGTGTGGGATTCTTAACTGTAAAATAAAGATGTTACAGTGTAGGTTTTAGAGCTCTGATAGTCTTAAAAAGTGGGTTGGCATTGTATATGTAGAAGAGTATGTACAAAAAGTCTCATTTGTGGGGAGATGGGTTTGCCCCTAGAGAAACCTTTCCTGATGGTTTCTTTTGGAGATGGACTCATTTACTCTAGGTTGAATTCCATATGTGGCCAAGGATGACCTTTAACTCCCAACTCCTGTCTCCCTTCTGAGTGTTGGAGATACAGGTTTGTGTCACTACATTTGACTTTCTTGGTGGTTCCGTAAGTGCACCAGAGTCTTGGCTGTTTAACCCAGGGAGCTCTTTAACTAAGTTTGTTTTCTTTTTTCTTTATTAAAATTTATTTGTTGTTATTCATGTGCTTGGGTCTTTTGTCTGCATATATGTCTGTATGAGGGTTTCACATTCCGTGTGAGTGCTGGAAATTGAACCTGAGTCCTCTGGAAGAGCAACCAGTGCTCCTAACTGTGGAGCCCCAAGTGTTTTCCTTCTTTCTTTTCTTAAAAAATTATTTATTTTATGTGCATTGGTGTTTTACTTGCATGTATGTCTGTGTGATGGTATTGGAGTCACTGGAACTGGAGTAACAGGCAGTTGGGAGCTGCCTTGTAGGTGCTGGGAATTGAACCCAGGTCCTCTGGAAGAGCAGCCAGTGTTTCATTACTAGTCCATCCACATGGGCTTTGGACTGACACATGCACACTGGGCTTTGTGTGTCCCGTACTTTCAGGTCAGGATGCAGAATGTTCAAGAGGGAAGATGTTTGAACATTTTATTTTATTCCCTGCTGGCATTGGCTTAGGACTTGCATATGCTACATGAGTGCTCTGCTGCTGAGATACACCCCCAGTTCCTGGTTAATAGGCAGTCCTGATGTCCACCTCACTTTGTTCTTTTGTTATTCCTCAAGTCTGAAGTTTATTCTTTTTTTTTTTTTTTTTTGCTTGTTTGTTTTTTGCTCCTGGTACTTGCTCTGTAGACCAGACTGGTCTAGAACTCACAGAGATCCACCTGCTTCTGCCTCTCAAGTGCTGGGATTAAAGGTGTGTTGCACTACAGCCCTTTTGTGTTTTTTTTTTTTCCCTTTTTGTTTTTGTTTTTGTTTCCCAGCTGAGTTTGGCTTTAACTTCTGATCCTCCTGTTCTATACTTCCTGAGTGCTGGAATTAGAGGGGTGTGCCCACCATGCCTGGCATCTTTTTTTTTTTCTTCTTCCAGAGTTGTTCCTTTTCCAAAATAACAAAATAATGTTTATTGGGTTTGAAGAGATGGTTGAGTGGTTAAGAGTACCGACTGCTCTTCAGGTGACACAGAGTCAATTCCCATCACCCACATGGCTGGTAACATCTGTCTGTAACTCCAGTTCCAGGGAATCTAATTCCCATTTCTGTTTTCCATGGGAAGTGGTGTGCAGTCATCCATGCAGGCAAAACACCATGCACATTAAATAAATCTTTTAACAAGTCATTAAAATGTTAATTTTGTGTAGATAGGGGACATTCATGTGGTGATCAGAAGATAACTTTTGGAAGTGGTTCTTCCCCTACCAAATAGGTCCTCAGCATCCAATTCAAGTTGTCAGACTTAACAGCAGGTAGTCCAACTGGTTCCACACTAGGCTAGCTAGCCAACAAACTATGAATCCACTAACTCCACTCTCCTTTTAACATGAAACCATCTCTCCTGCCCCAGGAGAGATGTTTTGGTCTTTGGTTTTTCAAGACAGGGTGTGTTACAGCCCTAACTATCCCGGAATTTGCTCTGTAGGCCAGGCTGGCCTTGAGCTCACAAAGATCCACCTGCCTCTGCCTCCTGAGTGCTGGGATTAAAAGGCATGTGCCACCACCATCCAGCAATAAACCCATTTTTTTATTTGTGTGTGTCCATACAACAGTGTTTGAATGGGGTCAGAAGACAACTTTCAGCAATGGCTCTCCCACCGTCGGTATTGAACTCGGGTTGTAAGGCTTTGCGGCAACTGTTTTTGCCTGTTGAGCTGCCTTTCTGGTTCAGTAAACTTGTTTTCTTCCAAAAAAAATTTAGCAGAATAACAGTAGTGGCTTCCACATTAGGGCCTGTGACTTTCACAGCCACTGGCTTTTGCAGTACTGGATGTGAATTATCTTCATTTGAGCTGGCCTTAACTGCAGTCAAAAACCGGTTAGCTATTCTTTTAATAGTAATGCCTCTGTTATACTAGTGGGTATATCTTATTTGACAGGTCAAGAGTGTGCACTATAAGACCATTGATGACAATTCTCTCCCAGCAACATGAGTATCCCCATCTGGCATTGTGAAAGCTAGCCATTAGGGAGAAAAGTTCTAACTTCATTTTTCTGTGGCATGCAACCAGAGCATATTATGGTTATGCAATATGGACTTCCTTTTTCTGAGCTTATTAAATTGCAGTTGTGTGTGTGTTTGTGCGTCTGTTTCTGGCACATGAGGAAGTAAGTCAAAGGACAACTTACAGGAATTGGGTTCTTTCCTTCTACCATGTGGGTACTGGGAGTAAAACTAAGATCATTAGGCTTAGTAGAAAGTGACTTTATGTTGGTGAACTATCTCACTTGTTTTTTTAATTTTTATTTTAGGACACCAATTTTTAATATATAACTCAGGCTTACCTGGAACTCAATATGTAGCCCAGGCTGACTCACATTCAGTGATCCTCCTACTTTAGCCAAGTGCTGTGATGATAGGTGTGTGCCACTATGTCTGGCCTGAGTGAGTATATTTACTTTGAGAGGAACTTAATATAAACGTTCAAGCGGCAGTAGCTGTAGAATGCCCTAGGATCATATATGTTGTGTTTTACAGCTGGGGGGGTTTGATGTTTCTTTGCATTTGTGAGGGCTCCAGTTTTCTATCATGCTGGACTAAGAATGGACCTCAGTGTTAATACAAACTAATAGTCTAGTTTATTCGCTGTGGACTCCTGCAGTGAGTGGAAACAGAAGAAGAAAATGGGGCTGAGATACTTAACTACCTTTGTTTCAGGAGGTGGGGGATGACTTGGTACATCCTTATGTCATCTTTGGGAGAGCATCCTAACAGCAGGGTTACAGCTTGGGGAAAGAGTTAGTAGAAGACTTGAAGGAAGATTAGTCCATAGGGGCAGAACTTACTTAGCACTAGGGGACTTGGGTACCTTGGGCCAGCCCTTCTCCTTTCTGGGGTCTTAGGTTTCCTGTTTTTTGTAGTGGACTGGGCTAGCTAGTTCCAGTGGGAAAACATTGATTTGTTATTTTATCTATTGTGAAGTATGTCATTGCTTCCCATCTCTCAGTATATAGTGCAGCTATACTATTACTTTCCCTGTCCACTGAGGTAAGAAGATGCCATGATGCACTTTAGAAGTGAATTTTAAATAAGTGACTAAAGCATTATTATTTTAGCTTTCTACAGTAGAATAGGGAGAAGCTACTGTCTGGGTGAATCTTACCTTTGTCACACTCACTTTCCCTTAGGCTGATGGAGCTACTAGTGACTTGTCATTGGCTAAGTGCTGCAAATATGAAATTGTTCTTAGAACAAACCTTTGAAAGTTTCTTTTTAAATTCCAGGCTGATTCTAAGGATAGTTCTTGTCAGTCTATGAACTCTGAATTTGCAACTGAAGCTGAGGGTCAGAGTGATGCTATGGAGGAACCCAACAAGTTCCAGAAAAGGAAGAAGGACAGGCTTCGAGACCAGGGCTCAACAATGATCTACTTAAAGGCCATCCAGGGCATCCTGGGGAAGTCGATGCCTAAGAGGAAGGGAGAGGCTGTCACCACTCGGATGAAGACGAGCTTGGAAGAATATCCAAGCAAGGAAGGACCAACCAGGAATGTGGAAGGACCATCCAGGAGCAGGGAAGGGCCCTCGGTCAAGAGTGGGGAAGGACTGGCCAGGAGCAATGAAAGATCTGCCCGGGGCATTGAAGGACCAGCCAGGAGTATTGAAGGACTCTCCAGGAGTGTGGAAGGACCAGCCAGGAGCCGGGAAGAACTGGTTAAGAGTGTTGAAGGACCAGCTGAAAAGGTTACAGTTACTGTACCTCAGAAGGAAGAGTCATCTACAAAGGTCAGGGTAAAGAAGGAAGAGTCTGTGCTAGATAGGAGTAGCTTCTGTAACAGAAGAGTGATTATAGACTCTGTGAAGAAAACTAGTGAGGAGCAGCTTGGTGACCAAAGGACAGTCATTGACAAACCCTCTCCAGCCCTAGAATTTTTTGATGACTCGGACTCTCATGCAGATATTCAAAAGGTAAATGAGCACACATCAAACATCTGGGTTTTGAATTCTCTTGATTATGTATATTTGGCATTTAGTCTTTTTTTTTTGGAGACAGGGTTTTTCTGTGTAGCTTTGGAGCCTATCCTGGTACTTGCTCTGTAGACCAGGCTGGCCTTGAACTAACAGCCTGCCTCTGCCTTCCAAGTGCTGGGATTAAAGGCATGTGCCACCAATGCCTGGTGCATTTAGTCTTTCGAATTTGATCCTAAGTGATAGAGATACTATTCTTGGTATCATCTCTCCTCCTGACCTGTGTCCACCACCATGCTGAGGATCAAACTCAGGACTCTAGGCATACTAGGCAAGTTTTACCTCTAACCCTAACTCCTAGCTCCCAGAGGATAGAAATTAAAAGCAATACTTGATTTAACATGTACTCCAGGAAATTAGTGCCTCTCTTTCATCATTCCTTTTAGTTATTAATAAATTTTGATTGGCTTTTAAAAAAATAAAAAATTCTATTAAATGTGATAGGGTGTAGGTTTGTTTGCATTGAAAAAGACCAGCATGATAGTGGCTTAAACAAAACTGAATTTTGGCTTAATAAAGATGGGCTCTAGCCGGGCGTTGGTGGCGCACGCCTTTAATCCCAGCACTCGGGAGGCAGAGGCAGGCGGATCTCTGTGAGTTCGAGGCCAGGCTGGACCGACAGCCTCCAAAACAGAGAAACCCTGTCTCGTAAAGCCAAAAAAAAAAAAAGATGGGCTCTTGTTGCACTCTGTCTTGATGCTCTGCCCTGCTAAATGTAGTATCCATCTTTTAGCCTGAGGTGGGGGCACTGATAGAATTGACTTTGTTACACAGATATTGGCCAGTAGAAAGCAGATGAGAGAAAAGGAAATGTACTTTTTTTCTCTTGAGAAAACAGTTAACATCTAGCTTCAAAAAAGTATGAGAAATTCTGCATTGAGCTCCATGTTCAAACATTAGGTTCCAGAAGTCTTTATCTGAATCTAATTGCATTGCAAAGGCTTTGCTTCTAAACCACATAGTTAGGTTAAGTTTATACTCCCTGGCATACCTCAGAGTGGACTTAAGGTCTGAGTGAATTCTGGAGGGGAGAGTCCATTTTGGAACCACAGCACCGGATGAGAAAGGGGTTTGCCATAGGACGGCTAACTTGTTGCTTTTCTTCTCTGCAGCACACAGACAGAGAGGTGGTGATTGAGCATCCCTCTTCAGGGAGTGACTGGTCAGATGTGGATGAGCTGGCCACTGTGAGGTTTTCCCAAGAGGAGCCTGTCTTGCTGAAACACTCAGCAGTTCCAGAATCTTCTTCCTTCCCTACTGACTATGTTATGTACCCTCCTCATCTATATAGTAGTCCATGGTGTGACTATGCCAGCTACTGGACTAGCAGCCATAAGACTCCTGGTTATCCATTGGTGGGATCCAGCAGCCATGACTCAGCACTGGCTGAGAAGAGCCCCCAGGACCTTTTGAGTGTTCATTCCTTTAAATCCACAGTGAATACCCAGAGTATCTCCAAAGACCTGGACATTGCCCAGGAAGGCAGGTCCCAGAATTCCCATTCACTTCAATTCTCCAGAAACACAGAGGAGGAGGAGGTAAAGGGGAAAAGGACATTCCGAGAGGAGACACCACCTCCTCGCCACACCAGAGAACATATATCCAGCTCCTTGCCAAGGAGCCACCGGGAGATGAGCCTGGATGAGGGCTTTATTGATACCCACTGTCACCTGGACATGCTGTACTCCAAGCTGTCTTTCAAGGGGACCTTTACAAAGTTTAGGAAAATTTATAGCACTTCCTTCCCTAAGGAGTTTCAGGGCTGCATCTCTGACTTCTGTGATCCAAGGACACTGACTGATGGCCTATGGGAGGAACTCCTGAAAGAAGATCTGGTTTGGGGGGCCTTTGGCTGTCACCCTCATTTTGCTCGCTACTATAATGAGAATCAAGAAAGAAAGCTTTTGCATGCCTTACGGCACCCCAAGGCTGTGGCGTTTGGAGAGATGGGCCTGGACTACTCTCACAAGTGTACCACACCAGTTCCTGAACAGCACCAGGTACTGCCTCTCTAGTCTGCTTTCCCTGTACATTTCCTTTGTGGTTGAACCTCCCAGTAAGGGCTGTTCTGCATTTAGAACTCCTGGAATGCCATTCTTCAACTGTTTTTCAGAACTTTTTTTTTCTTTTTAGAAACAAGGTTTCTCTGTATAGCCCTGGGTGTCTTTGAACCATAGACCAGGCTGGCCTGAGATCCACTTGCCTCTCCCTCCCAAGTGCTGTGATAAAGTGACCTTTTTTTTGCCACTATGTTAAACTGGCCTTGAAATCATGATCCTTTTGCCTCAACCTCGGCAGTGCTTGCCTCCACTTCCTGAGTAATAATGATTAAGGCATGTGCCAACAAATCTGACTTTTTGGTTTTTGGAGACAGGGTTTCTTTGTGAGGCCATGGCTATCATGGAACTCATTCTTAAGACCAGGCTGGCCTCAGACTCACAGAGATCCACCTGCCTCTGCCTTTCTAGTGCTAGGATTAAAGGCGTGCATTGGCACGAATGGCTACATCTGAGTTATTCAGCACTTTTATAAAGTAAGATGGAGATGAGGCATTTTGAGACTTTTTAAACATATTTATTTATTCATATGTGTGTGTTCATGTGCATGCACATTGTCTTGGTTAGTGGAGGTCACGGGAGTTGGTTTTCTCCTTCCGCTGTGGGTCCTGGGGATTGAACTCAGTTGTCAGGTTTGGTAGCAAGTATCTTTATCTGCTAGTTCATCCTCCTGACCTTTATTGAAATAACTGTTTGTAAAGGTCCATTTAAATTTTAGTGATGTGTATGTTTCCATATATAGATATGTACATGAGTGCAGTGCCTGAGAAGGCCCAAAGAGGGTGTTAGAACCCCTGGTGGAGGAGTTCTAGGTCTTTGTGAGCTGCTTGACATGGTTTCTGGGAAATGAACTCAGGTCTTCAGGAAGACCAGGACATACATGCTGTGTCATCTCTCCAGATACCTGTTTTGAAAAGTACTACTACTACTTGGTTTTTCTGAGACAGGGTTTCTCTGTATAGCCCTGGCTATCCTGGAACTCTGTAGACCGGGCTGGCCTTGGACTTAGAAATCCACTTGCCTCTGCCTCCCAAGTACCACCGCCCTCTTGAGGGTTTCTATCGCTGTGATAAACAAAGACCAAAAAGAAGCCAAGAGTAGGAACCTGGAGGCAGGAATTGAAGCAGAGACCATAGAGGAATGCTGCAGATTGGTGTGCTCATCTTTCTTTCTTATATACTCTAGGACTGACAACCTAGGGGTAGTGCTACCCACAGTGGTCTCAAATTAACTATCACTCAAGGAAATAATCCACAGGTCATTTTCTCAAGGTTTACTATTTCCAAATGACTCCAGCTTCTGTCAAATTGACAAAACTAAGCAGGACAGTCCCTGTAGCACAGGTTAGATGTACCAGGGGAAGAGGAGGAGTTCAGGAAGCTCATCCTTGCAATGTCACACAGTTGTACAGCTGATGTTTACTGGATGCTTGGTGCCAGGAACCCTGCTAAAAGAACTTGACAGTACCTAAGTTCTTTGTTAAGTATGAGGGGCTCAGATCGCACCTGCAGTCCCAGAATCATTCTGCTCAAGCTGAACTTGGCTAGTGTTCCGGCTGTTACTTGCTTTGGTGAGATGAGACTCAAATGAAACATAATGAGTAAGGAAGTAGATTGCTGACTGGAGAAGGGCGGAACACACACATGAATGTGAAACACTTTATCACCTTAGATGCTTCTGTCAACATGGAGGATGCTAAGCTGGAGAGGGGAAGTGGATGCTGTGTGTGTGTGTGTGTGTTTTTTTTTTTTTTTACATAAACCTTAAATTACACAAAGTGAATAGTGACCAGCAAGCAGCTTGTCTGCACCGGCCTGAAAGTTTTACTTGGTGAGGAAGAAGAACTCAGGGAAGGCTTGTGTCTGGCAGTATTGGGAGGGGTCCTACCTGACAGAGTATGAGTACTTGAGCTCTTATCATGGGCCATGCTTGGGTAGCTGGAGGGTGAGGGAGTGAAGCTTAGTTTTGTTACTTGCTACTTACCGTACTTCCTGAAGGATTGAGGAAATAGAGGGGGGAAAATGAGGAAAGTGGGTCCAATAGTTCTCATTAAGTCTTTCCTTGTTTTTATCTGTGTGATCACTGATTTAACTATTTAACTTCCAAGTATTAGGCCCTACATATCTCCTGAATACATTGCACAGACATTAAGAGGATCATAATTCTTTGAATGAAAAGCCAAGAAGAATGGAGTCTGTCCCTACCTACCTCACTGAACTCTGGGTATCTGTGCCTCTATTTGTGTTCTCCTGGAATTAATTATTGAATTAATAAAGATGCAAGAAAGGCTTGGTTCCCCTAGGAAAGCACTTATCAGCCAAGGACCAAAGTGTAGCTAAACAGGAGAGAATGCTGGGGTAAATAACACAGGTGTACATCCTTTATTTTTGTTTTGTTTGACCCTGCATGCTAGGGTTTTTTTTTTTTTTTCTCTTACTGTTTTTTGTTTTTATAATTTGGATGTGTGTGTCAAGCTATTGTATATTTAATATTCGGCCTCTTGGTAAGTTGCAAAGGACAATTGGTGGTGTGTCTTAAAATTACCTGTCAAAGATTCAAGAAAATATTTGTTGTGTGTAAGTAGGTAGTCCCACCCTCCTCATGCAGGAGATAGAATTTAGGGCCTTGGGAGATGTGCTACTACAGCTTTAAAATTGTGCCTTGCAACAATTTTAAGAAAAGAAAATAGAGTCATGAGATAGCTGAGTGGTTAAGAAGATATGCTGTACAAGCATGAGACCTGAGTTCTGATTCCAGCGTCAATGTAAAAATAATATGATTTGTGTCTGGTTATTATCCTGTGCTTAATACTTAAGGATGCCAGATGGCTTAGTGTGTAAAGAGCCTGATGACCTGAGTTTTTTCTTTTGGACCCACTTGGTGGAAGGAGAGTTGTCTTCTGATCTACCCTCACCTTAAATAAGTAATAAAGGTGTAATAATGTTTTTAAAAAGTTAAAAGCTGTATTAGAATTGATACTGGCCTGTGCCCCGTTTTGAGATTATTTGGCACCTGCTTTAGACATGTAAATGTCATTCTTAAGTGGATGTTACCGAAAGTGTATTGTTACTGTCACTCAAGATGCAAGCATGAGCTATGCTGCACAGCTAAAATAATTGCTATGGAAGTGTCATGTGTCAGGTGAGGCAATTTGCTGAACAATTCTGGTACTATTTATTCTAAACTTGGCCATGGTAGAGGAAAGAGATTTAACTCTACTTGTTTGCTTACATTATTGCTTTGGAGCCTATCCTGGAGCTTGCTCTGTAGACCAGGCTGGCTTCAAACTCACAGAGATCCGCCTGCCTCTGCCTCCCGAGTGCTGGGATTAAAGGCATGCGCCACCAAGCCTGGCATTTGCTTATATTATTAACTGTGGATTTTACCAGTTCTACAGAATGAAGTAGATCCACAGGTACTTAGAAAGACATTCAGGAATTGTGAACCCTAAGACCTAGACGTTGTTGGTGTGAGTGAGTCTACAACTCTTGCATAGAGAAAGTTCTGGAGGGTGGTTGCCTCTTCAAAGTAGAGGTGTGAGGTATTGGGCTGAAGTACAGCAAATTGGAATTATACACTCTAAATCTCTGCTCCTGCACCCTTACACATTGCCAGCTGCTTAGGGAAGCAAAGTAGGGGTTATCTCTAGCTCTGGGTTACTGCCTTCTAGGCTGGCCACAGTGCCTGCCCAGGGAAACCAGTGAGGATTGCAAGTTGTTAAGCAGCACAAGGGCTTTGAGGACTCGGCAGTGTAGGAAGTACCAGTAGATGGTACCTTTGTTTACAATTGTGTTGTATAGTGTAGTTTAGAAGCAATGAATTAGAGACAGAAGTAACAGACTGAAGGGCCACTGATCAGATGCTGTCGCTTTGCTTTCTCTCAGGTATTTGAGAGGCAGCTGAAGCTGGCTGTGTCTCTGAAGAAGCCCTTGGTCATCCACTGCCGTGAAGCTGATGAAGATCTGTTGGATATCATGAAAAAATTTGTGCCCTCTGACTACAAGATCCATAGGTTAGGAGCTGCAGCTTCAGTGGGCACATGGGCACTCCTGAACTAACTGCAGATGAAACTCAAGGAAATCATGCTGTTTGGGTGTTTTTTGAGGCCTTTTGTGATCTGAACCCTTGTTCTATTTTTAAAGTAACAAACTTTCTTTTAGATTTTCGTACATGAGTACTTTGGTTATTTGTTTGTTTTTTGTTTTGTTTTTCCAGATAGGGTTTCTCTGTATAACAGTCCTGGCTGTCCTGGAACTCATTTTGTAGACCAGGTTGTTCTCAAACTCTTAGTGGTCTGCCTGTTTCACCCTCTAAGTGCTGGGATTAAAGCCATGCACCATCACTGCCCAGCTTTATTTTTTATTTATTTACTATTTTTCAAGACAGGGTTTTTCTGTGTAGCTTTGGAGCCTGTCCTGGAACTCTCTGTAGACCAGGCTGGCCTTGAACTAACAGAAATCCATCAGTCTCTGCCTCCTGAGTGCTGGGATTAAAGGTGTGCACCACCACTGCCCAGAATGAGTACTTTATTTACATCATTTCTATCTCTTCTATCATATTACATTTAAAAAACATTTGCAAATTTTGAGAAAGGGTATTGAAAGCCTGGGGGTAGCCTGGGACTCATGAATATCTCCTTTCTTCAACCAGAGTTCTAGGATTACAAAGTATGCCACCACATCTGCCTTCCTATGTGTTTTTAAGTATCTTTTTAAGAGAATTAAACATAAAGTAGACTCATATGAAACTTCTGGTAATTGAGCAGTCTTTGCTTATACAACTGTGACTTTTTAACAGTTTAATTTAATATCCTTTAATCACAACTGAGCTAGAAAGGGCTTCCTGGTCTCAAATGTGGGAGAGACTGCTTTAGGGTGTAGTAACTCAGCATACTGAGACCCTTCCAAGGTTTCTGAAAAAGTACTTCTTATATTTCTTTTCCTTACTTGAACTTGAAAGCTCTTTTTTGTTTTGTGATAGGTTCTCACTTTAGCCCAGGCTAGACTTCAGATATATAGAGGAGGATCACCTGAATCCTCTTGCCTCTGTCTCCCCTCTGCTGGGATTATAGGTATGCACCACCATACCTGACTGAAAACTCCATTTATCCCAGGTATCATTAAAGGATCAGGCCGTGCTTTATTTACCTCAGTGGCAACCACAGTCTTAATCTAGAGAACTCTCTTGCATTCCTACATTGCATGTACCAGGCATGGCCCCACTCTGGGGAAGCCATGGAGGCTGTAGAAGCTAGACCAAGGCTACTGGTGGCATTAGTATTCAGAGTGCGGGACAGAGGTGGACATGGATATAGAGGGAGCTCAGGTAGGGATCCTTTAGTCTGACTGCAGGCAGTCAGGATGCCTGAGTGACCTGTTTTTCTGTGCAGAAGGGATGAATAGAATTTGGGGAGGCTGGAAGTGAATCTAGATCTTGTTAGATGGCAGGAGGGAATGGACTTTCAGTCACTGTGCTGCTACCCACTGGGTACTAAGTGGCTGAGGTGCAGTGAGAAATGGTTGGTTGGGTTTTCAGGGCGTTGGCAATGGCTGTCTTTAAAGGGACAGCTGGACCAAAGCTAAGACAGTTTGATGGGGAGTTGTGGCTGCAGGAAGCCCAGAGTTCCTGATGAGTTGACAGTAGTTGTTGTCCAAGAACATGAACTGTTGTCACATTTAAGAAGAAAAATTTTAATTTCAGTACTTGAAAAGCAGAGGCAGATGAATATCTGTGAGTTTGAGGCCAGCTGGTCTACATAGTTAGTTTCAGGACAACCGGGGCCATGTAGAGAGACTCTGTCTCAATAAATTGGGTGGGGAGATCCCCCCATTTTCATTTGGCCTTTTATTTCCTTTTAGTGCATCTGACAGCACAGGCATGATTTTTCCATGCTGTAGTTGTGACCTTGGGAGGGCTGGTCTTTTTCTTCTGTCTTCTTTCCCACAATTCTCCAGCCTGTGCCATGACTGTAGTTGTGTCAGATGGCTGCGTAGATTGTGGGATGGAGGTGGGACTGGTGGTACCCAGTATCTGAACTTCATACCAGCTTGTCTGCTGTGATTGTACTGGCTTCTTTCTCAGCTTGCTCTGGAGAAAAGCTGCTTGGTGCAAGTTTTTCTCCTCTAGGGTCCACTAATGGGTGCTTTAGGCCTGGAGGCAGCTAGGGGCTGTTGCTGAGGCCTGGGAGCAAGCCCTGAACCATACTCTCCTACAGGCACTGCTTCACTGGCAGCTACTCAGTCATTGAGCCTTTGTTGAAGTACTTCCCTAACATGTCGGTGGGCTTCACAGCAGTACTGACCTACTCCTCCGCCTGGGAGGCCCGAGATGCTCTTAGACAGATCCCATTGGAGAGGATCATTGTGGAAACAGATGCACCCTACTTCCTCCCTCGCCAGGTAGGACTGTCTTCAGACCGACTTAAGGCACTGAGGCGAGTTGGTGGGAGACTGGCTGGGCCCAAGTCCCAGTGACTTCCTGATCATACCTTGTGCGGTATAGGTGTCTCCCTGTTGTTACTCTGTAGAACCAAAAGTCCTGGGGGCTGAGAAGCTGAAGGGTAACCACTCTCTTCCAGGCAGTGCAAAGCCCTACCCTGTAGAGGGTAGTCCATGGAAGCGTGGGACCCCGCTCACCCAGAGCCCCCCATGACTAGGACTCTCCCTGCACCTGCAGGTAAAGGGGTCTCTACAGGGCAGCCCCAAAGAGGTCCTTGCTGGATGTGGGATGGGGGACACTCTGTGACATGTGTTCAGAAGGCACAGCAATAATGTGAATGCTTGATGTCTTCCAGGTGCCGAGAAGTCTTTGCCAGTATGCCCATCCAGGCCTGGCCTTGCACACAGTTCGAGAGATTGCCAGGGTCAAAGAGGAGTCACTTTCCCGTACTCTGGCGGTCCTCCGAGAGAACACCAGTCGCCTCTACAGTCTTTGAGCAGGGAGCATGAGCAGGCATCTTCTGGCAAAGGTCATAAGAGCCACATGTTTCTCAGCAGTCAGCCATGGGAGTCTTTGGCTGTTTTGGTGTAAACTATTAACTAGCATATCCAACCTGAAATCTGCAGCCAAGGAAAGTTATGAATACAGTATGGAAGTCCATAAACTTACTTAAACTTTGAGATTTATATATTTTGTAACTAGATTGCCTGCTTCTTACATGTGAACTTCTAGATGACCCTGTTACGTACAGTGTTAAAGATTGAACATATCTGGTAGAGAAAGTAAATCAAAGACCAGTAAGATGATTTAGTGGGTAAAGGCATTTCCTGTGCAAGCCTGGTGAACTGAGTTTGATCCCTAGAACCTGAATAAAGGTGGAAAGAGAACCAACTCCATAGAGTTGTCCTCTAACCTTCATGTCTACTGTGGCATGCATCCCTCCTCAGTCATGCATGTTCACAGTAATAATAATTTTAAAAAAATGTAAGTTTTGGGTTGGTATAAAGCCTGGTTTGTTGAGCTTGAACTTGAAACCTTTTCTTTTTTAAACCCTCTAGGATGACCAGTGGCCTGATAGTTTAGGATGGGCTCCATCTGCCTGTGTCCAAGGTGAAGGATGTGTTGGAGATCCTGTCAAAACTCAACAAACCAGGATGGGATGTTACCCTTGGACCCTAATGACAAGGCTTCACCTGCTGTTTGGTGGATGGCTACTGTGGAATGGGTTGGGGAGAAGGGTAGTTTTGCTTGCTGGCCACACGGACCCAGGTAATCAGTGAGCAAAAACATTTGTGACATAAGAGTACAAAGAGTTGGCCAGTCTGGATGACTGCCCAATGGCCTGGGTTTCCCAGCAGTCTGAATAAAGTCACTTCTTTGTCTTAGCACATGTGATGTGTAATCTGGTCCCTGCTTCTCTGTTGGGAGAGGAGCTTCCTCGGGGAGGTCTCTGGGCATTCTCTCCAGCCTTGGTTCAGGTGCAGCCTTACATGGTTGCCACTGGTTCTTGTGTGTGTCTCTGAGGTACTGGTCTTTATGCTCTACTGGTGTTTAATGATATGCCTATGAGGACAAAAGAAAGAGGTCTTCTGTGATAGATGAGCCCCAGAGGATGTAAGGGGTCCTCCTTCAGTAAAGCCCCCTCTGTTAGGTAGCTGAGTATCTGGGCCCCTTTTTGTATTTTTTTTCATAAAACATAGAATATTTCCCTCCTTTCACACTTCTCAGTCTCCCTGTGTCCCCCACCCATTCATGCTGCCATTCCCCAAAGCTTGCCAGGGGCTTTGGCCATGTTGGATTGCTAGCGCTGAGCAAGCAGCCTACAATCTAGGTGTGATTATTCTCTCTTGGCTGCTTTTTGTGTCCTGTTTGTGTTTTAGGAGCCTTCATTTGAGCAGTGTGTGATCTAAATTGGTGGCTTTGTTCTGGTCTTTGTGGTTCCTTGTAGAGTTTGGGTTACTTCAGGCCCTGGAGGTGGTGCTGACTCTGTTATTGGTCCAGAAGGATTAGGTTGTGTAGTCCAGCACTTAACAGTGGTTATTCTAGGTGGCTCTTTATCTTTGAAAAATGCTCTTGAATCTTGTGACGTAAAATAGGTGATGTGATTATCGCCTGTCTGGACTGTCTACCTAACCCTGGAACTCTGTCAGGTCTGGGAAATAGCTTTCATCTCTGTTCACCTCCCTTGGGGCAACAGTGTTTTATCTGTGCTTCATGTTTGTCACTGTGGGAAGAACAGGGGACTTGGCTTCCTGTTTGGAAGACTTGGGTCTGTTCAGTCTGCCACACTACTTTATTGTTACTCAAGCTGTACTGTAGTCATTTCTTGTGCAGCAGGCCTTTGGTAACTTTGAGGGTACTACTAGCCTCACTTTAGGGCATTACTTCTGACTACTACACTAAATTGGAGGTGACTACCTTGCCCAGATGCCTCCTCACCTCTTCTTTGACTCCAGCCTTCTCTTTAAAAGTAAAGGGATGGGACAGGTCCTTAATCCCTTAATTTCCATCCCATGCTCACCTTGCGTATTTAGATTGGCTTGAGTGAGGCAGGAGGCTAGTCCAGTCAGCTTGGTAACATGGTATTCTGTGTGCTGCTTTCTATTGCTGTGTTGATACATTGGCCAAAAACAACCTAGGGAGAAAAGGGATTATTTCACCTGAAGATTACAATCCGTCAATCAGGGAGTCTAGGCAGGAAGTCAGGTAGGAACTAAAGCAGAGACCATGGCTTTCTTAGTTTGTCTCCATATACAACTTGGGACCACCTGCTCAGGTGTGGCATCACCCTTCATTTTCTGGACACTCCCATATCAATCATGATTCGAGAAAGCAACCCATCAGCCTGCCTGCATGCCAGTTGCACGGGAGCATTTTCTCCATTGAGGTTCCCTTTTCCCAGGTAACTTAGCTTGTGACAAATTGACAAACTAATCAACATACCTGGCTGTGAGACTCAGTTCTGTCTAAATAGTCTGCTGCCTTGGAATGAGACTTAGATGTATTTTCTTGGTACTGTGTACCCTCATCGTTGCTTGGATATATTTTATTTCTGCCAGTTGTTAACTTGAAATGTCCTTTCCCACTCACATTCACTTGATGAATTATCAAGAGTGCTTGTTCATCATACACAGACCCTGGATTTACTTCAGCACTGAAAACCCTTATGAAACCCTGGATTATTGGCAGTTGGGCCAATGGAGCAGAGTTAAAATGGAAAAGCCAAAGCTGGTCGTTAGTGGCGCATGCCTTTAATCCCAGCACTTGGGAGGCAAAGGTAGGCGGATCTCTGTGAGTTCGAGGCCAAACTGGTCTACATAGTGAGTTCCAGGACATCCTCCAAAACAATACAGAGAAAACCTGTCTCGAAAAACCAAAAAAAAAAAAAAAAAAGATGGAAAGCCACATGCCTCAAGTCTGAGACTCTGGTTGAGTCTTCAGGTATTTGTTAATTCTCTTATAAGCAGACTTACTGTGGAAATGAACAGAATTAAACTCATCTTTGAATATACACAGTAGGATCATGGAATGGTAGCTATTAGGATAATTGTGTGCCTGTTCTCCAGGCACCCTTGTGCCAGATGCTGGGTTAAGTTTTTCAGTGACTGTGGCAGAGAGGAGCCAGGTAAGTGCAGGTCCTGATGTGGGTTGTACAGTCCCATGTCCACACTGAACCACCTGGTAGGTAGAGTTTGGCCAGAGTGTGCTCAGCATCTGCTTCTTGAAGGAATAACTACAGGGCAATGGCAGAAGAAAGAGAAATACTCATTTTTGGTGAGTGAAGCATCTTGTAAACAACTGTTCATTCAAGTTCTTTTCCTCCATTTGCTAAGTTTCTTCCTTCATTTCTGCTCTCCAGTAAGTTACAGTGGTTACTTGTGACAAAAATGTTACACCTGTGCCATTCTGAGTCAAGACAGGTGCTGTTGGTAGAAAGGCAACAGGGCATTGGTGCTGTTGCATATCTTGGGTTAGATCTAATTGATATCGGTGAGCATTGCAAAGACGGGAGGGAAATTTGAGAAGCTGATGAATGCATTAGTTTTTCTGGTGCTAGGATAAAAACCTTGACCAAAAGGCAAGTTGAGGGAAGAGGCAAATTTATCTTATTTCAGCTCACAGGTTACAGTCTACCTTTGAGAGAAGCCAGGACAGGAACTTGAGCAGACATCATGGAGGAATACTGCTTACTGGCTTTTTTCTTGCTGCTTGTTCAACCTGCTTTCTTATAACCCAGAACCACCTGCCTAGGGGTGGCACTGCTCAAAGTGGGCTGAGCCTTCTCACATCAATCATTAACTAAAAAATGTCCCATGGACTTGCTTAACGAGAAATCTGATGGAGGCATTTTTCTCCCCACACGGTCAAGTTGACAAAAACTGAGCAGCACAGTGAATATCTGTGGGTCTTCATGTTTCCAGGTTTGCCAAGGACCCCACAGCTCTGTGTGCTGTGTTATTTGAACAGGATGCTGGGACTTCTAAGCAAGTCATAGGTTGGGGCTTTGTTTTTGTTTTTGTTTTTTTTTTTCCCGTTTTTGTTTTTTCAAAACAGGGTTTCTCTGTAACAGCTCTGGCTGGCCTGGAACTCACTTTGTAGATCAGGCTGGCCTCAAACTCCTAGAGATATGCCTGCTTGCCTTGCTGTGGTTAAAGGCATATGCCACCATGCCTGGCTACTTGGGGGCTTTGTTAAATGATTCTCTGGAGAAGGACTGGAGTTGGGCCGTGCATTCATTTGTAAGGAGTTACCAGATGGCAATAGCGAGGAGCACCACAGCTCCTGGGCAGGGATGAGTTTAGGTATCATAATGCCTGCCAAGTGTGCTCATCCCTGGTCATCTCATGCCTTGGGTTCTGGTGGCTAAGGCTTCCCTTGAGTAGGTATGTGTCTCCTGCTGCAGCAGTGTTGCCTTGGCTGGGCAACACTGGGTGTACTCCCTCTTTATCCTAAATGCTCACTGGGTCTAAAGATTTGCACTAAGGTGTGAGTAATATTCTTAGTATCTCAACTAAAATTACAGTGGTGGACTTGAGGATCAAGGCTCATGAGCTGTGATCTGGAGTTTGGGAAATACTTTGGGACATATACCTGATATCAGGTGGTGGCCAGCCTTGAGTACATGGGACATTTACTTTGCCAGACTCTCCAGGAGTTTGAGTGACGAATGTGGTAACCTAGCCCTGTATGGTATGGTTGAGAGCCATTGCCAAGTATCCATTCTGATCACCCCAGACAGGTCTTGAGTGTGTTGATTTTGATACTGTCAACTGCATCTTTATGAATGTAGCCATTGGTGGCTCTTTGGAAGCTCCCAGTGTAGCTATTAATTACTCAGGAAGCTCTGCTATGTGGTGAACTGTGTTTGTGGCCTCCAACCCCCACCTTTAGAACCATCTGTCTTATATTCCTTCTGCTGTTTCACTGCTGGAATGAGCAAGGATTCCTTTGGTTTTCAAGCATGCTCTTGCCTTGCTGTAGCTCCTCCCCCCTTTCCTCACGGGTCATAAACTTACAGCATTGTTTCATTTCATTGTTTCAATGATTTTTAAGTAAAATGTAAATTTTACCATGTCGATGAAAATAATTTTTTTTGGTGTTTACGAGACAGGGTTTCTCTGTATTGTTTTAGAGGCTATCGGTCCAGCACAGCCTCGAACTCACAGAGATCTGCCTGCCTCTGCCTCCCTAGTGCTGGGATTAAAGGCATGCGCCACCACCGCCCGGCAAAAATAATTATTTTGAACATTCGGCACACAGCTTGAGCATTTATTCTTAAAGCAGTAGGAGAGTGCTGGGAATTGCAGCGGAGCCTAAGGTTGGATGTGAGTTCTTGCTCAGGAGGAACTCAGTGGGCAGTCCTGTCAGTAGTCACTTGTCAGCTGGTGCTTCTGAAAAGCAAGAGGTCAAGTCAGTCTTGAGGTTCACCCTCTGGCTTGTGTCCTCAAATTTGCTTTCCTTAATCATGGTATGCTGGGAGCAAGTATGTTGTGATGGAGGGTGGGGATCACTGGCCTTGGACTTAGAGGGTGGCATTTGAGTGTGGACTATGCTTTTGGGTAAGTGTCCTTATATTCCCCCATCTTTCCTCATCTGTACAGTGAGATATGTATGATTGCCGTATTTGTGAGGAAGTGCTTAGGGAAAGAATGTGGCTTATTCTTGAAATTTTTGTTTTCTCAGCAATGGAAAAGCTGGGTATTTTTTTCACAAACTAAGAGGGTACTGAAAACCAGGGACACAGCCTAGAGGTAGTGTGCTTGCCTAGTATGTATGAGGCTTTGGGTTTCATCCCATCACTACACAAAAACTCTAAGATACAGCCAGGCATAATAGCATATGCCTTTAATCCAGCACTTGGGATGATGAGGCAGGCAGATATCTGAGTTCCAGGCGAGCCTGGTCTACAGAGCAAATTCCAGGACAGCCAGAGCTGTTACACAAAGAAACCCTGCATTTTCAGTGCCATTGTGGCATATTCCCTTCATGAACTGTAAAGATATGTCAAAGTCAGATAATTTGAAATAAAGGAAATAGGTATCAGTACTACCTTAACAGTTAAAAGAGCTGAGGGTCGGATGAGGCCTATCAGCTAACTAACGTACTAGTTTCTGGAACACAGGCTGAAGATGGACCTGGTGCTCCACCCCTCTGGGCTGCCATATAGACCAGTGCCCTTTCCCATAGATAGTGAGAAAGATTAGAAACTTGAGAGTGGGGTTGGGGAAGAAAATTTGTGTCACTCATAAAATAGGTTAAGCTGCATTCAGATTGACTTACCTTTGACCTCTTCCCAGAGGATGTCCTGAAGAAACTTCCCCAGGGCCCGGCCATGCTGCTGGTACTGAGCTCCTGACAGCTTGATACCCACGTCAAAAGGAGCATTGAACTAGGAGGTAGAGTTGGGAGGGCCTGAGACCTTATCCTGTCTGCCCTGCTCCAAACACCCACCTCTCCCCAGGGAGACCTGGTCATGTTGGCCACTGGATATCTGAGTAGTCTGTGAATGTAATCTTAGAGTCAGTGGGAAGTGCTAACTGGTCTGGTACTTTCCCTGTCCTCAGGGCAGAAGCCCAGAGAGCCTGGATGACCTCTCTGTGTCACAGATAGAGGTGATGGTCAATGATTTAGAAAGCAGGACTCTGAAATCTACCTAGCCCCAAGTCTTTGCTTGGCGTGGTCACAGGCTCTGTCAGGCTGCTAGGCATCAGGTGAGTAGCCTGTTCCTCAGTTTGTTTCGGCCTAGGAAATATGAGTAGGGAGCAGCATAGATGGGAAGTGCTGTGACTTTTAGGGACCTGGGGCCCTTCTAGCCTTCTCTTTAGCAAATGCTAGTTTTTCTTCTCACACTCCATTGTCTGTGAAGCCAGTCAGATCACCTAACCATCATGGAAGAAAACCATACACCCATTAGGGGCATTGCCAGGGCTGACACCCTAGTACTGAATGGTCGGGGGCATGTGAAGTGGCAGCATTTGGTTGTCATACAACCTGGGAAAACCCCTTCTTCTTGATCCAGGGTCCATCTGTTTAGTGTGGTGGAGATAGTTGGTGTTCTGTCTACAGACCCGACTTTGGGGAGAAAACCTTTGAGGAGAGATGAAACCCCAAATGACAGAGTATGCAGTGGTCATACTCTGTGCCCAGCATACTACAGGCTTCTCCCATCTGTTTGTGCCTAGTACATGCTATGTAAGCCAGATGTTGAGTATCATAGGAACTAGGAAATGTTTAATCCTGGCCCTATGCTAAGATTTCTTTCCTATAAGAACTAAGTACAGGACTCTTTTGGCTGGGATAGCCACCTGCCCAGTGTGAACCTGGTTGTCTCAAGACTGTGTCCATGCTGTGTTAGCGAAGGAACCTTGAGGAGCCAGAGGAGTAGTTTTCAGGGTCACACTTCCTGTGGAACAAGGGTTTGAGAAGACACTCGGGCTCCAGAGGGTCACAGACTATGAATTTGGTAATCTTGGCATTGGCATTTGTCCTTGACCAGAGAGGATGATGGGGGAAGGAAACCCAGACCTGATAGTCTTGGGTGAGTTCACCTTTCAACTTGTGTTTCTTATCTACAAAGTTTAGCCAATGATGCCAGCCTTGCTTAGCTTACAGGTTTTTTAAAGTAAATGATCCATGATAACGGTAGAACAGGGCTGGGGATGTAGCACTTGGCAGAGCACACATCTAGCAATTGTGAAGCCCTAGGTTGTGCCCCCTGCTACCCAGTTAATCATGGTTGCTGTGTTTGAAGATGAAGTTTCATGTAGACACACAGTATAGGGACTGGCAATGCCAAATGCTACTTACAGTTCCCAGGGGGAATCCTAGGTGAGCTGCTAAGAGGCACGTATGGGTTCCTTTATTCCTTTCTCCCAATTCTTGAGCTGTTTGTGGTTTTTCTTTACCCCATGCAAAGTTTTTCAAAGCAAAGCCAACTGTATGAGTTAGCTAGCCTGCACTAGCAGCTTGCTCACCTCTCCATAACTAAGGCATCCTGAGAGGCCCTGGGATAAACAAAGACTTCTTCTTTCTTCTGTCTGTGTCTTTTGTGACTCCCTGGCATCGTTGCTGCTCCTGGCTGCCCCCTTGCTACTCTTGCAACATAGTTACCTGTGGACATTTAGCTCTTGGGCCAGAGACCCTGACCCTCTTGCAGAGCTGTTGTTGGACTCTACTTCATGAGAAGCTTGTAAAACCATGCCTTTATTTTATACTCCACCCTACCCCACCCAACTCCCATTACTGTCACAGGAACATACTGGTGCCTGGGTACCAACCCTGATCTCCAGTTCCTCCTCTGTCCCTTCTGCCTGTCCTCTGCCCTCTGGGTGGAGCCAGCCTTCCAGAGATCGTGGCTGCAGTTTGGCCTGTGGCTTCTTGGATTCTTTTCTCTGCTAGAAAGGAAAAGAGGGTCTCTTTACTTTTCTTAAAATTTAGATTTAGGTTTTTTTGTTTTTGTTTTTGAGATAGAGTCTCACTATGTAACCCAGGCTGGCCTTGATTTTGAGGCTTATCTGCCTTTATTTCCCAATGTTGGGATTATAGTGTGCACTACCATGCTTGGATGAGGTTTTCTCTTTAGAGACTTAAATCTGCATATCCTTCCAAAAGCAGAATTGGGCCATATCCAGAGGCCTCCCTTAGGCTGTGAGAAGGCTTGAAGGCCAGAGAGATGGGGCCACTGCTGCTGGTCACAGGGCTGAAACAGACCTTAGGTCAGGGTGGGTATGGGGCTTGTGGAGACAGGCTTACCTGGGCTTTCTGGTGCTCTGGGCTCAGGAAGCTGGAGCCCGTCATGGCCACATCCATCCATAGCACACTGAGGAGTAGCAGACTGCAGATGGTCCCTGAAGACAGCATGGTCTTGGTGCTGGGTACAGATTGCCCTGGGGAGAGAGGGTCTTCTGGTAGCATACCTCATCTCCATGATATGTCTTAGATTTTGCTTAAGTTGGAACCCAAGAAACTTCTAGAAGGAAAGATAGGACCTAGAGTGGGTACTACTGAGTGAAGGCTCTCTTGTCTTAAAAGGGTGGGAAAGCTGAAGGTTGAACTCTTGTCTTTTCTAAACTGTTGAGGCAGAACATGGTGTGCTAGAAGGCTGTGGTGTTCATCCAGTGTCATTTGTCCTAAGTCCTCAGGGGCCTGATGATGGAGCTAGTTCTTTATCCAGCTTTGTCTCAGTAGTCAGACTAAACCTAGGTTGTCCATTGTCCCCTTTGTTCAGTGAGCTCAGTGACACCCAGTGAAAGTAAGTGAATGGCCAGTAGTGAGTAGTTCAGACCCCTATGAGCACATACACATACACACATACACAAACGCACAACACACAGCCTACCTGGAATGCCTCTGAGGATGTGGTGCTGCTGCCTGGCTGCTCCTTATATAGGAAGCCTTGTGTTTGTTCAGATCTGGCAGCCTTATCTTTCAGGCTGTTCTCTTTGTGTGGGCAGTATTGCATTCCTTGGGAACTAATATTCTCTTCCCCACTGTTAAAGAACAACAGTGGCTGTCAGGTACCCTGAGAGGTATTACACGCAGTTTGCTTCTGTTGGGACACCAGCTCCTGATGTGGTACCCATGTGGGCTTGGCCCTGGTAGAGTGTTGGCAGCTCTGAGGTCTGGCTTTATTGTGGTGTGACCTTGGCTTGTCCCCTGCCATGTGAGATGGTGTTGCCACCAGGAGAGCTTTAAGATTTTGTTCATCTTTACCCTGCCACTGAGCTGTTCTGGCTTCCACATACCAATCCCACCTGATTTTGGGGTGTTCCCCAAGATGGGCTGAACTGTCCTCCCAAGGGAGTGAGTATGTGGGTAATGGGGTAATGCTCACCTGGCGGCCATGCTTTATTGGTCTTCTGTGTGGTAAAAAGATGACTGTTTGGTCTTACTGTTGTTGTTTTTTTTTTTTTTTCCGGTTTTTCAAGACAGGGTTTCTCTGTATTGTTTTGGAGGCTGTCCTGGAACTTGCTCTGTAGAACTTGAATTCACAGAGATCCTCCTGCCTCTGCCTCCCGAGTGCTGGGATTAAAGGAGTGTGTCACCAACTGCCGGCTCTTACTGTTGTTTTTGTTTTGGACTGTTGGGCATAGTTCCCAGGGCCTTGTACTTGGTAGGTATTTTCCACTGAACCATACCCCAGCCCAGTCTGGTGTTTGCTAACCTGGCAGCTTGCCTCTCTGTTTGGCAGGTATCGAGGCCCTAGGGACAAGGGATACCCATTGATGAGATGGACCTGGTGATAGGAGTCCTGCAATGTAGCTTTGATGGGACGTTCTAGGAAACCTTCCCACAAAGATCCTCTCCCCCTTGCCTGCTGGTTCTTTGAGGACTGAGTGGGAATACTTTATAACTGATAATGTGGCCTGCAGGAGGCAGCTGTGTTGAACCATGCCTTTGGTTGTGATACACATATGCCAAATTCTGTTGGCCTGGGACTTGGCAACTTCTAGAGGCTTCATGTAGTCGGATACTCTTCAGTAGTGCTCTTAAGAAAAATAGGGCTGGATGGTGGTTGCTGCATGCCTTTCATTCTAGCACTCGGGAGGTGGAGGCAAGTAGATCTCTGAATTCAAGGCCAGCCTGATCTATAGAGTGAGTTCCAAGACAGCTAGGGCTACACAGAGAAACTTGTCTTAGAAAACAAAAGAAAAATAGGCCTTGATAGCAGAACAAATGATTCAGGGCCCCATGACATCCTGACCTACTAGATAGTCTTGTGGGAGATTGGGCCCTGTGGGAACTAGTAACAGATGAGGCATGGGCTGGGTTGTCCCTTCTCTAACTAAAAGACCATCTGGCAGGGGTAGCTGAAATCCTATGTTTAGTCCTAGCCAAACATAACTATATTACCAGGCACCTTCATAGCCCTGTCTCTCACCTGAATTTAGAAACCATTTGGCCCTGGGGCCCAGAGGGGCTGAAGATGGAGGTGGTGAGGAAGCACCTGCAGCCCTCCAGTCCGGGAGGACAGAAAGCCTATGCATAGTGATCAGGCATTAGCTGAGATATGAGGCTTGTCTACTTGACCCCTGGAAGCTTCTGGAGGCAGGAGGTGCTGGTGTTGATTTTAGATAAGGCCACAGGTGAGCAAATAACAAATTGCTGGCTATCTAGGGACAGAGCTGGCTGGCACCCTCTAATAACATACCTTGGCATCCAGAGTGTAGGTTAGCAGGGAGGAAGAGTCTAGTGATGGAAGAAGTATGGAGGTGGAAGGTGCTAGAAAATGTCTAACCATCTACTCAAAGCTGTGGGAGAGGGCAGGGGCTGGGAAATGTATCTCCATCCTTGCAGCAGGAGCTTGGGGAGGACTGTATGACTCCAGGAAGGACAGGTGGCTTCCCTACTATTACTCCCTCCCCCTTAAAAAGATTCATTTATGTATATAGGTATTTTGTCTGCATGTATGTCTGCACACCAGAAGAGGTCATCAAATCTCACGGGACTACAGTTAAACAGTTGTGAACAAACATGGAAGTGCTAGGAATTGAACTCAAGACATGGAAGAACAGCCAGTGCTCTCAACTGCTGAGTCCTTTCTCCACTTTTTAATTGTGACCAAAGCCAATGTGGCAGCTCCAAGAATAGGAGCCAGGCTGGTCCCTCCTGGAAGCAGGTGTCCTACCACGTAGTGATGGCCTCCGTGTGAGGAAGAACTACAGGCTGTGGGAAGGGAGGCTGGGGAACAAAGAACCTATTCCCTTGCCACTGTGACTTCTTCCATACTGCTGATTAGTAGTTGGTTCAACAAGTGTGTTTTCTATTTTTAATCAGTATGGCTAAATCTTAGCTTAGGCTGAATGAGGGTAGGGGAAGAAAAGTCAGACATGATGGCTCACATAACTATAGGTGCTAAGATAGGATTGACACAAGTTTGAGACCAGCTTGGTCTACAGTGTGAGATCATGTCTCAAATAAACAAAGACAAAAATCAAAATAGATGGACTCAATTTTAATGCATGTTGCATTAGTCAGGGTTCTCCAGAGAAACAGCTGATAGAATGAACTTATGTGTATTAAAGGGGATTGATTTATTAGAGTGATTTATAGACTGTGGTCTGGCTAGTCCAACAATGGCTGTCTCCTGACAGAAAGGCTAATCCATTAGTTGTTCAGTCACAATGTGGGATGTCTCAGCTGATCTTCAGTCTGCATTTGAATCCAGAAGTAGGCTCTAATGCCATGAGGGAGGAGTGCTTCAGTAGTGGGATAAACGGCTTTGCCAGCGAGAATGAGGGCAAGCAGACAAAAAGCTTCCTTCTTCTGTATCCTTTTATGTGGGCTGCCACCAGAAGATGTGGCCCAGATTTAGTGGGTTTTTCCACCTTAAATGATTCAATCTAGAAAAATCCCTCACAGGTGTGCCATCTCCATACGTCTGTCCTTTCCATTTCCTGGATCTTAGTCCTCTGTGGGCACTGGTACTTTGTACGACCACTTGCCCCTCTGCCATTATTAAACATTCTGAATTGCTGGCAATCTAGCTCCAGGGTCTCAGTGCTAAGTGAGGCCTGCAGGGCCCTGACCTCACCTTCTAGTGCCAACTTGGACTACAGCATGCTCATAAGTGTAAGATTGTCAGGTCTCATCCTTGAACCTGACACTAAAGGTCTTGAGTGCAGCCCTGGGAACTAGTTTAACAAGTGTCCTCAGTAGTTCTTTTCTGGTTATAAAATAACATTTTTTCCTTTTTAGATTTTTATTATTTTTAATTATATGAGTGTGGGTATGTGCACATGTGGGTGCAGGTGCCACTGGAAACTAGAAGTGCATTAGATTCCCTTACAGCAGAAGTTAACAGGCAGTTGTGAACCACTTAATGGGGGTGCTGGGAACGGAATTTTTGTCCTTTGCAAGACCTATATGCTCTTAACCAGTAAGATGCCTCTCCAGTTCTCTTTTTGCGTTTTTTTTTTTGTTTGTTTGTTTGTTTGTTTTTTTTCCTTCTTGAGACAAGGTTTCTTTCTGGCTTTGGAGGCTGCATTGGAACTAGTCTTGTAGACCAGGCTGGTCTCAAACAGAGATCCTCCTGCCTCTGCCTCCCGAGTGCTGGAATTAAAGGTGTATACCACCACTGCCCAGCTTTTTTGTGATGTTTTAAGACCAAGATTTACGTATGGTCTTCAGCAGTGTCAGAATGGATTTGTAACTACCATAGTCTAGACAGGGAAGGCAAGATCATTACTTGGGTTTCTTTACTCATTTTTCAAAGTTAGAGTTGACTCATGTGTTTTTTAACATGAACTCACAAATTATTTTACATGTGGCTTCCAGCTAATTTATTCATTCTATCCAATGGTTTTTCAATCAACTAGCTAGAGTTAGGCTTTCAAAATGGTCCCAGTTTTAAATAGCTTTCTGTTGTACTGAGATCCCTCAAGTACATCATGTACACTTCCTCCTCAGACCTGAACTGAAACATGTGCCTAAGAAGCATTTGCTTCCATTAGTGGGAACTCTGCAAGCACGTACACCCCTTTACATGTGCTGTGGACACATGCTGGTGGAGGTCAGTAGTTAGCATTAGGCGTCTTCCTCAGTTGCTCTCTAGTTGACTTACTGAGCAGTCTCTCTCTCTGAATTGACAAACTGACAAACAATTCAGTTTGTCTAGCTGGCCAGCTTGTCGGGGCCTCTGGCCCCACATTCTGGGCATTAGGATTTCAGGTAGGCTGCCATACCTGCTCAGTTTTTATGAAACCCCTGGGGATCCACACTTAGGTCCTCAAGTTTTTTTTTCTTTTTCCTTTTCTTTTTTAATATCCACTAAGCAAATGCTACTTGGGAACCAGTTTTAAGATTGTATCAGGTATATTGTTTCTCATTCCTGAGATTAGGTATCAAAAATTTAAAATACATTTTTTGTGTGTATGTGTATGGGCATGCACATGTTGTAGCATGTGGAGGTCAGAGGATAGTCACATATGAGAATCAGTTCTCTCCTTCCACTGGTGTGAAACCCAGGGATCAAACTCATAAAGATTTGGCAATAAGTACCTTAACCTACTGATCCATCTTGCAAGCCCAGTAAAATGCCTACTTTAAAAGGAAAAATACTAGGCTGGAGAGATGGCTCATGGTTAAAAGTGTATAGTGCTCTTGCCAAGGACCTGAATTCAGTTCCCAGAATCCATGTTGGGTGACTCGCAACCATCTGTGACTCCAGCTCCAGGAGATCCAGTGCCCTTTTTGGCCACTGTCAGCACTTTCACTCATGGGCACATACCCAAACATAGACATACATATACATGTAATTTAAAAATAAAACAAGAAGGTAAACCGTGTCATATATTTACACTGTTACGGAGTCTCCTTTTGCAGTTTCACTTTGCATAGGTTGAATTAGGGTCAACTATGATCTGGAAATAATACATGGAAAAGTCTAGAAACAAGCAATTCTTATGTGTGGTTATTTGTATCATACTTTTTTCCCTCTTGTTTTGAAATAAGGCTTGGCTGTGCTATATGTAGGCTGGCTTCAAATTCTTCGGTTAAAGTGATGTTCCTGCCTCATACTCCAAGGAGTGTGGGGCTAGATACATGGCAGAGACCTGGTTCACATATTTTAAATAAGTTTTATTGTGGTTTATTGTTTAAAATTGTCCTTTTGTGTATGGTGTGCTTGAGTTTGTAGGTATAAGCTGAGTGTCCATGTGGGGGCCATAGCAGGATGTTGGGTATCTTCCTCTATCACTTCTTGCCTCAGCACCTTGAGACAGGGTCTGATTAAACTGGGAGCTTGCTGTGGGCTAAGTTAGTTGGAGAGGAAGTACTATGAAAAACTGTTTTCTGGGCTGGGTGATGATGATACATGCCTTTAATTTCAGCAGTTGGGAGGCAGCGGCTGGGGGAATCTCTTGAGTTCAAGGCTAACTTCATCTACAGAGCAATTCCAGGACAACCAGGTCTGCACAGAGAAACCCTGTTTGACCTT